TACAAAATCAGTTGTAGATAAGGTTAAGAGGTTGTTTGATATTTGCTGAATAGTTTGGTGTAGAATAATTAAGTGATCAGAATGATTAAAAGACTTTCATGATATAATGTAAAATATAATATAATTATTTACAATGAAATCATGACGCTTAATGGTTAAGGGATACTTAGAATACAAAATCATTCATAGGGTTTTAGAACCATTAAGAGGCTGACTTTTTTTTTTTGCCAAACAAGATTCACTTCTTAATGATTCAGATGTTGTCTTAATGAAACTATTAAGAGGTAAACAAACAACCCCTAAGAGTAAGTTTTGGGACAGATTTAATTTACATCGTTGATATTGATTTGATGATTTATATGGACGGATGAGATTATTTTGTAAAGGTGTGTAACATTTAGATGACTTGTATTTGAATTGGCAATAGTTTACAAAAAAAAGAAAAAAAAGAAACAAGGCTATACTCATCTTTGTAAATAATATATACAGGGTTGAGTTTACGTGAGATCAACATGTTTTCGTAAGATCTGTGAGATCACTTTTTTACACTTGAAACTTCACAGTAAAACGTTGTGAAGATAAAAAAAACCGAACTTTCACAGCAAAACACTGTGAAGATTACTTTAACAGAGTTTTGCTGTGAAGTTTCAAGTGTAAAAAAATGGTCTCACGTGAACCCAACCCTCTATATAGAAAAAGTAAACATTACATTTGTTTTATTCAGAAATCTTAATGAGAAATGTCAGAAGAACTATAAAGTAGTATCAAATCATATGTAAACCCTGTCTACGTAACTTCATCAACACATATATCCACAAAAGGAACGACCCTCATTGCCATTTCAACTTTCAGAATTGTTTCTTTGTCTTTTTCGTTATCTGTTCTATTTGAAACATAAAGGCTCGAGTTATCTCCAAAGAAGAAGAAAAAGCAAGAGAAGAAGAATAACATTTATGAGTGTGATCAAATTCAAAGTAAATTTTGATGTTTTTAGATCAAAATCACAAACTTTTGGGGGGGTTTTGCATTTGATTTTGAACCCCAAAAAAAGCACAAGGAAACAAGCTTATAGATGAAGATTCTTTAACCTCTATTAGGGTTTTCTTTTTTTTGACACAAAAAAGATAGGGTTCCCAAGTGGGGTGGTTAAAAATTAAAGAGGGTATGTCAAACCCTAATGGATAAAGAAGGTTGCCCTCTTTGCTTTTTCAGAATGCATAGTGTCCTACTCATACACTTGCTACTCAAAATGGACTTAGAAACTATGTGTAATCTTGTTTGTATATGATTGATATATGTTTCTTTAGTTATATATATATATATATATATATATATATATATTAACTCACTAGAGGCCCCGAAAACAAAGAGAAGACGTGTACAAACGAGATATAATGCCTAAAAGACCCTCATTGTCGGAGAGATGAGAGAGGAGAGAGGAATTTTTAAAAATACCTAAAATGCCCTCTAATTATAATTTTAACTCAAACTATCATAATTATTAATTTCCTAACTTATCCGTTGATTTGTGGTTGAGATTGGATCTCACAGTTACCACAAACAAATTAGTTCTCTCTTGAATGGGCCCCTATATATATGTATATATATAGGGGAGCGTTCAAATAAAAACCACATAATTTGTACAAACCGTACAAACTTCATTCAACTAATCATAATTTTTCATTTTGTTCATTTTTTTGTAATTATGAGAGGTTGATTAATCATTTTTATTGTGCATGATGTTAATCATGGATATTATCATCTTCATTATTTTAATTTTAGAGAAATACATGAAACAGTTTCATTAATTTTAGAGAAATACATGAAACAGTTTCATTAAGTAGTATATGAAACAATTTCATAACCATATATGAAACAACTTTATCAAAAAAGTATTATATGAAACAATTTCACAAGATTAAACAATTTCATGAAAAAATTTCATAAGATTAAACAATAAAATCGACGAATGAGAGTAGTTTTTACGGTTTTTACAAATTGGAGTGGTTTTTATTTGATCGCTCCTCTCTCTCTCTCTCTCTCTATATATATATATATGTGTGTGTGTGTGTGTGTGTGTGTGTGTGTGTTTAACTTTTATGGGTTTGAAATGATATGATATAAAGGTTTTACAAACTAATTCAGGTTGTGGGTTCATTTCGTCTTCAGCAGTGTTTTTGTATCTGTTTTTATCGTTGGTATTTCTGAAATGGTATAAATTGACAATGCCCACTTAAACCTTTTCATTCAACCATCTATAAATGTCGCCTTATCTCGTTCAAGATTTCTTTATTTCTAATGGTTATATATAGAAGATGGTGTTTTTATAGTCATTTGTATTTTTGGAAAAGTGAAGACGGTTTACAAAATTCTAAGATTAGATGTCACTGTAGTTTGTAAAGTTGATCTTGGTATTTTTATGTTTATGAATATTAACATGGGTGAAGTTCATCTACAAACCGTGAGAACCTACAATTCAGCTTGAATATCACGATACATATTCATTATGAATATCATGAAATCAACAGTTCGTTATTTTATCATCAATGGTTGGTTCTTACGGTTCTCAAATGAACTTGTGTCTATTAACATATATATATGGGTGCAATTTTACTTTAATGAACCCGAGGTTTAAAGTCGTCTCACACAATTACTCTCGTTATTTTTCTACGTGTGCATAGACATTTGTGTGTGTACATGCATCAATGGTACCCGAGTTATACCAATGGGTTACAACCGCATTAGAGTTTAAGGGTTTAAATCTTACTAAATATGAGAAGTATGTAAACCTGTATGACATGTATTATTTTTGCTCTACACGAATATATACAAATATTTTTCCTCTGATAAGATTAAAATTGATATTTATGGATCTTTATGACATTATTTTAAAAATGGTTTTATTTGGGAGAATTGATATTATTTTAGATTTAAAATAAAATGATAAATTGCACGAAAAAGTAACATACTTTAACTTGATTCCTATTTGGGTTAACGTATTTTCAAAACTTTCATTTTGGTACCTAAGATGAAAAGTTTTAAACATTTAAGTACTCGTTACCATGCTGATGTGACGAGTGATTGGATGAAATTAAGTTGAATAACAAATAATGTTGAGTTGGATACCACATCACTCGCCACATCAGCATGGTAACCGAGCTAATGCTTCAACCAGTTACCCGAGTACTTAAATGTTTAAAACTTTACATCTTAGGTTCCCAAATACAAGTTTTGAAAGTACCCTACATAATATGGGAATTAAGTTACAGTATGTTACTTTTTCATGTAATTTGTCTTAAAAAGTAATGAATTAATGATGAAGTGTCTTTCTAGTTGGGAATTTTTGATGAGCTACAAAAATTCTTGAATTATTGTTGAGTTGTCTTTTAATGATGAAAAAACTCAAAGTGTAAAGAAAGAACAAAGTATCAATTTTAGACTTTGAATATAATGATAACAAATCCTATACATTCATGGTTTTCAATTACAACTTAATCTAAAAAATTATTAGTTTTTAATAGTAAATTAATGTGGCGTTTGTTTTTTAAGAGGTGCTGAAGTCTAAAGTCTTATTTCACTTCTGACTAATAAGAGGTGGTGCTGAAGTCTGAAGTCTGAATTAATAAGACGTTTTGTTTTAGTAAACTGATTACTGTCTGAATTTGTTTAAATTGTTTATTTTACCGATTAGAAAATTATAATGTTGAATTTATAGATGGATTTATATAATTTCACATATTTATTCGTCATTACAATATCATTTAAACGAAAATATGTCATTGAACGGTATTTAACACATTTAAATCCAACGATGAAAATTGCAATCTTTTTAAACCCATAGGGACAAAAATCACAGTCTTTCTTAAAACACGAGGATAAAAATCACAATACTTTCAAACCACAAGGACGAAATTAAACACGCAAACAATACAGAGCATAAATAGAAACCTTCAACAAAACAGCTGCAAGATGCAGTTAAGAAATAGCAGGAAAAGGCAAAAAAACAACAGTCGACCAACCAAAAATACGAACAAAAAATCACAAAACAAGATGGAAAGCCAAAGAACTGCAAAAATCAAAAGACCAAGATACAGAGTTGAAGCGAAAAGTGAGCACAGAAACCATCAAAGCAGATACAAAGGAGAAAGACTACAAGTTCGGATTATCGACCCACGACTCCTATTATACTGATTACGATCTTTTCAGAACCCAATCAAATATACAAACTTGATCTATCTTATTGGTAATATTTTTAAAAATATATATCAGATCAGTTGTCGTTTTCTTAAAATCCCTAAAAATTATTTAAAAATAAAATATTTAATTTTTTATTTCTTAATGATGATTTTAATATATTAATTATTATAATTATATTGATTATTTTTTTAATTTATATATTTATATTAAATTATAAAAAAAATTACCAACAGAAAAGTCTATGAATTTCCGAGAGGGTAGAAGCTGGTACGCTGGCATTATTAGCCAGAGTACAAAGAACTTCACCAACACATTTTCCACGTGGACATCTTACAGTTTGCCACGTCATCAAAGAGAATTTATCCCTTGCTTGTAAGAAGCGAACTAGTGGGACCGCACACAGACAATCCTGGACCCCACTGATCTTTCGGTTTTGGCCTTAATCGAGGAACTCAACAATCACACTGTCACCATCACTCAGATGTCCCACTTATCCAACGGCTGCGATCATATCGTTACAAAAGCACCCATGAGATCATTACCGTCTATTCATGTGGGGACACCACGTAGGGACCACATCCAAGAATATCTCACCGACGCCGGATGCAGAGGATCCCACCACGCCTCACTTTTTCTTCCTTCTTATTCACATCCCATTTCTCTCCCCAATGTCCCCATTGCATACTTCACATTCACTCTCTTTTCCCCCCCTCTAAAAACACACACTCACACACTTAGTGTGTGTGAGGGTTTTTTTCGGTCCGGTTTTCGTGAGTACTTTTTTTCTTTTCGACAAGTTTCGTATGGGTTTAACGTCGTTTCAAGTCTGTATGGATTCGTCTGATTGGTTTCAGGTACGTATTTCTTGATAAGATCAGAAATTTTTGCTACAAGATTCGAAAACTCAAATACAATATCTTTATTAGTTCAAGAATTGCTTATGTTTTGGCCATATCGAAAGACTACCCTTTTCCTATACTGAACAAATGGATAGTATTGATTTACTATCGTTCTTAAAAGAATATGAATGGTGATACAACAATTTGGAATTGCTATAACAATGGAATGTGGTGGTTTTTTAGGGTTCAAAGTCTTAGCAGATGTTTACAAATACAAATTGAGTAAGTGTTAGCCAGGTGTGAGTATAGTTTTTACAAAAAATCGTCCAGTTTAAATAAGCACTAACTAAGAATAGCTGTTTACCTAGTGTTTTGCAGTAAATGCATAGCAGTAAGCACCGAGTCTGACTTGGTTAGTGACATATCAGTGGCTAACTTTATCATCACCTTGATCAGTAATAAGTCTACCTAAGCAACGTCTCTTACTGGGTAAAATACCCTTTTGAGTCTTGCTTAGTAAAAGACAAATTAACCATCTGTTACCGAATAAAAAACACTTATCCAATAAAAAAACGTTGTTGTTTACAAAACCCATTTTCCACGACCATGATCTTGATCAGGTTAAGTTAAAGGAACGACTGTTACTCCATTGAGCGATTATCGTTAACCCAGACCACACTTTAATCCGATTAATATATATCCAGTTTGTGTCGGTAAACAATCGCTTTACGAAATCTTGGAATAAGAATAATGATTAAAATTTTGTATTTTTGTAATATTTTATGATGTTTTTTTGTTGTACAATGTGATTGAATGTTCAGAAAGTACAATTCCTGACACAGATTCTCATGGGTGTCTTTCTTTATTGATTTTCTAGGGCACAATTCAGGAGGAAACAGGAATGGATTCATCGTCACCTTCAGGAATCACTGATCCCATGCTTGCATGCTCTCGGCCATTAATGGAGAGAAGGTTAAGACCACAACATGATCAAGCTCTCAAATGCCCACGTTGTGATTCCGCCCACACCAAATTCTGCTACTACAATAACTACTCCTTAACCCAACCTCGTTATTTCTGCAAAACCTGCCGCCGGTACTGGACCAAAGGTGGCACTCTTCGTAATATTCCGGTGGGTGGTGGTTGCCGGAAAAACAAGAAAGTCTCTTCTAGTTCCAAGAAAACCAGTTCCGCCACCGCGAATAACAGCAACGATAATACCCTCCACCACCACCACCAGGATCATCACCAACAGAATGTTAACACACATTTGATTAACCCTAACGCTAACCCTAACCCCAATCCTAACCACCACCATCATCCATTGATCATGAACTCGAATGATCTCCAATTATCGTACCCGGAATCGTCGATGCAGTTTTCGGGACCTAACTTGTTTGGAATCGGTTCTTCAACGAACAATATCCCGAGTTTCATGTTTGAAAATCTGAATAGTACGGCAACCAGGGCTATAGATTTCATGGAGAATAATGGTGGTGGTGGGAATCAGTTTATGGGTATGATGGGGAGTAACGGTGGTTACGCGGCGGAGATGGGTGGTGGGAATGTGTTGACGGCGAATTACCATGGTGGGAATCTTTGTTCACCTTTCGGAGGGATGACTCTCGATTCGATTAACAACAGTTTCATGGAGAGAGGATTGATTGCATATGACCAAGGAAATGATGTGAATGATGATACAATTAGTGGACTTGATGTTAAACCAAAGCTTTTGGCTTTAGAATGGCAAGATCAAACTGGTTGTTCTTCTGATCACCACCACGTCCACGGCGGTTCGGCAAGTTCCGGTGGCGGAGGTAATGGTGGAAGTGGTGGTGGATACTTAACGGGTCTTGGGTCATCATGGGGTGGTCTAATGAATGGTTATGGACCATCCACGACGAACCCATTAGTCTAGGATCCATGTGGGTTCGAACCATTGGTTGGATGGCTAAGGCTAGCTAGGGTTCGACCTTTTCAAGATGATGATGATGGCTTGATTAACAAAGCTTTTGAGTGTGAAATGGAGACTAAAAATGGGTGCTTTGGTGGAATTTGGATCTTGTTTTTTTTTTTCTTTTAAATATTATATGTTAATTAGTGGTGTTGTTGGATGAATGTTATTTTAATTAACATTCAAGATGGTAGGATTTTGTGACATATCGAGGAAGATAATTAGTGTGTTTTTTAATGTTTATTTAAAGCTAATTAATCAGTATATTTATATATCAAATGGTCTTTCGTCTAACGGTATGTGAGTCTTTAACTTTCTAGGAGGTTAGATAAATAAGGGAATTTTTATTAGTAGTTTAATAATTTTAACGGGACCCACAACTTATTCGCATTTACGATAAGATATGCATGACTCTTAGTTAGTGACCTTGTGATGTAGAAAATCGACTTACTCAACAATTTTTTAGGAGGGGAAGGGGCTTTATACAAAACTAGTATGGGAACCGCGCGTTGCGCGGTAGTATGAGTGCTTTGATTAATGATCTGATGATTGTCTATATAAATATATATTAATTGTTAATAGAATCATCAACAAATCATATTCAAATAATTCGAAAAAGTTAAATAAAATATAGTTAGTGAAATTTTAATATACACACACATATATATATTGAGAGAGAGATTTGTTTAGTAATAAAATTGTAAAACTAAATAAAATAAGTAATAATAACAACAGAAATATTAAGAAATCTGACACAAATTTAAGAATAAAAAATACTCCACATAAAGATATGTCTCCTTCAAGGGATGATGTACATGTACTATTTTTCATCTTCAACACATACCTTGACTTTAAAAACACAATARTGAATRGACCGGACCAACCATACGATATGTAAAAAATCACATACCAAATTTAAAGACTTCAAATCTTTATAACCCAATAGATAAAATTATAATACAATCAAAATCATAACATGAACATACATAAAATTATAATACGACTAAACTTACGATAAGAACATACTTAAAAATATAATCCAATCAAAATCATGATACAAACATACATAACATTSTAATACACTTTAAATTACAAAACAAACTTGCATAAAAT